TTTTCAAGTTTCATTTTAAAATCTTTGGATTTTGAAATTAAAAATTTTTGTCTTTTTGGTTATTTAATTTGTAGAAATTTTTGTTTTCCGTTTTCACAGTTTTTCAATTTCTCAATATTTAATTAATCAGGGTTTTCAGGTTTCCATATTACAATTTTTCAATTTTTTTTTTCAATTATCCACTTGTTTAATTTCTCATTTTTCGATATTTCAACTTAAAAATTTTTCGATATTTCAAGTTTCATTTTTCAATTTTTGATTCTCATTTTTTCGGTGTTTTCAATTTTTATTTATTTTTTCGATTCTTCGAGTTCACAATTTTTAAATTTTTTGATTTTTCAGTTTTATAATTTTTAAAAAATAAGGAATTAAATACTGAGAATTTGAAAAATTTTATATCAAAAAAGTGCAAAATGGTTTCTTTGTGTTGATTTTTTCAATTTCTCGATTTTTAATAATTTTGTTTTTGATGTTTTAGTGTTACAATTTTTCGGTTTTTCAAAAGTTCTGTTTGAATAAATTTACCCTTTTGTCGAACAATTAAAAAATGAAGTCGAGAATTTCAAAAATATTATATGGAAAAATTGCAGAATTGTTGCGTTTTGTCAATTTTTCAATTTCTCGATTTATAATTGTTGCATTTTTCAATGATTCGGTGTTATTCGATTTTGCAAAATTTCATTTTGATTAAAATTGAAAATCAGGAACTTGAAAACTTTAAAATTGAAAAATTGCACAATTGTTCCGTTTTTCGATCTTTTGATGTTTCAATTTCGGGATTTTTTATTTTTTCGTTGTTCCAATTTTTCAATTATCCGATTTTGCAGTTTTATTTTTAATTTTTCCATGAATGAATTTTTCATTTTTTCATTTTTCAATAATTCAATGTTAAAATTTTTCGATATTTCAAGTTTCATTTTTCAATTTTTGCTTCTCATTTTTTCGGTTTTTTCAATTTTTCTTTATTTTTTCAATTCTTCGACTTCTCAATTCTTAAATTTTTTTATTTTTCAATTGTTTTTTCAATTATCGCATTGTTCAATTTCTCAATTTTTTCATTTTTACCGATTTTTCAATTTTTAAATTTTTCGGTATTTCAAGTTTTATTTTTCAGTTTTTAAGTCTCATTTTTTGGGTTTCTTCAAATTTTCTTAATTTTTTCAATTCTTCGATTTCTCAATTATTTGATTTTTCAATTCAATTCAAAATTTCGGTTTGAATAAACTTGTCCAATTGTTGAAGCATTAAAAAATGACAAATCGAGAAAATGAAGAAATAAAAATCGAGAATTTCAAAAATTTTATATCGAAAAATTGCAGAATTGTTTTGTTTTTTGATGTTTTAGTGCTACAATTTTCCGTTCTTCAAAAGTTCAGTTTGAATAAATTAGTCCTTTGTTGAACAATTAAAAAATGAAAAATCGAGCAAATGAAAGATTAAAAATCGAAAATTTGAAAAATTTTATATCGAAAAATTGCAGAATTGCTTCGTTTTGTCGATTTTTCCATTTCTCGATTTTTAATTAATCAGGGTTTAGAGGTTTCAATATTACAATTTTTCGATTTTTCAATTATCCCATTCAGTTTCTTAATTTTTCATTTTTCGATTATTCAAGTTTTATTTTAAAATCTTTGGATTTTGAAATAAAAATTTTTTGTATTTTTGATTATTTAATTTATGGAAATTTTTATTTTTCGTTTTTTCAAATTTTCAATTTCTCGATATTTAATTAATCTGGGTTTTCAGGTTTCCATATTACAATTTTTCAATTGTTTTTTCAATTATCCACTTGTTTATTTTCTCATTTTTTCATTTTTCAATTTTTCAGTTTTAAAATTTTTCGATATTTCAGTTTCATTTTTCAATTTTTGATTCTCATTTTTTCGTTTTTTGTTTATTTTTTCAATTCTTCGACTTCTCAATTTTAAACTTTTTTGATTTTTCAATTGTTTTTTCAATTATCCCATTGTTCAATTTCTCAATTTTTTCATTTTTACCGAATTTTGAATTTTTAAATTTTTCGATATTTCAAATTTCATTTTTCAGTCTCAGTTTTTCAGTTTTTTCAAGTTTTCTTTATTTTTTCAATTCTTCGATTTCTCAATTGTTTTACTTTCAATTCAACTTCTTGGTTTTTAATTGTTTTGTTTTTTGATATTTCAGTGTTACAATTTTCCGGTTTTCAAAACTTCAGTTTGAATAAATTTGTCCTTTGTTGAACAATTAAAAAATGACAAATCGAGAAAATGAAAAATTAAAAATCGAAAATTTGAAAAATTTTATATCAAAAAATTGCAGAATTGCTTCGTTTTGTCGATTTTTCCGTTTCTCGATTTTTAATTAATCAGGGTTTAGAGGTTTCAATATTACAATTTTTCGATTTTTCAATTATCCCATTCAGTTTCTTAATTTTTTCATTTTTCGATTTTTCAAGTTTCATTTTAAAATCTTTGGATTTTGAAATTAAAATTTTTGTCTTTTTGATTATTTTTGTTTTTCGTTTTTTCAATGTTTCAATTTCTCGATATTTAATTAATCAGGGTTTTCAGATTTCCATATTACAATTTCTCGATTTTTCAATTGTTTTTTCAATTATCCACTTGTTTAATTTCTCATTTTTTCATTTTTCAATTTTTAAATTTTTCGATATTTCAAGTTCCTTTTTTCAGTTTTTAAGTCTCATTTTTTCGGTTTTTTCAAGTTTTCTTTATTTTTTCGATTCTTCGATTTCTCAATTTTTTAATTTTTCAATCCAATTCAAAATTTCAGCTTGAATAAATTTGTCCTTTTGTTGAACAATTAAAAAATGCAAATCGAGAAAATGAAAAATTATAAATCGAGAATTTGAAAAATATTATATTAAAAAATTGAAGAATTGTTTCTTTTTGTCGATATTTCAATTTCTCGGTTTTGAATTGTTTTGTTTTTTGATGTTTCAGTATTACAATTTTCCGTTCTTCAAAAGTTCAGTTTGAATAAATTTGTCCTTTGTTGAACAAATGAAAAATGAAAAATCAAGAAAATGAAAAATTAAATATGGAAAATTTAAAAAAATTTACATCGAAACATTGTAGATTCGCTTCGTTTTGTCGATTTTTTCATTTCTCGATTTTTAATTAATCAGGGTTTTGAGGTTATTACAATTTTTCGATTTTTCAATTATCCAATTCAATTTCTTAATTTTTTCGTTTTTCGATTTTTCAAAAAAAAAAATCTTTGGATTTTGAAATTAAAAATTTTTGTCTTTTTGATTATTTAATTTATAGAAATTTTTGTTTTTCGTTTTTTCAATTTTTCAATTTCTCGATGTTTAATTAATGAGGGTTTTCAGGTTTCCGTATTACAATTTTTCGATTTTTCAATTGTTTTTCAATTATCCACTTATTTAATTTCTCATTTTTTCATTTTTCAATTTTAAAATTTTTCGATATTTCAAGTTTCATTTTTCAGTTTTTCATTCTCATTTTTTCGGTTTTTCCAAATTTTCTTTATTTTTTCAATTCTTCGACTTCTCAATTTTTAAATTTTTTGATTTTCCAATTTTATAATTTTTAGACGTTTCAATGTTACAATTTTCTGATTTTTAAATTTTTCAAAATTTCAGTTTCAATAAATCTGTCCTTTTGTTGAACAATTAAAAAATGAAAAGTCGGGAATTTGAAAATTTTCTCGATTTTTAGTTGTTGCATTTTTTAATGTTTCGGTGTTACAGTTATTCGATTTTGCAAAATTTCATTTTGATTAAAATTGAAAATCAGGAACTTTAAAATTGAAAAATTGCACAATTGTTTCGTTTTTCGATGTTTTTGATGTTTCAATTTCGGGATTTTTTACTTTTTCGTTGTTCCAGTTTTTCAATTATCCGATTTTGCAGTTTTATTTTTAATTTTTCCATGTTTTTACAATTTGTCAATTTTTCGGTGTCTCGATTTTTTAGTTTCTAGATTTTCATTTTGAAATTTTTTGGATTTTTTATTTTAAAATTTTTGTCTTCATTGTTTCAATGGTACAATTTTCCGATTTTCCACTATTTTAGTTTGGATAAATTTGTTCTTTTGCTGAAAAATAAAAAATCACGAAATTGAAAAATTAAAAAACTAAAAGTTTAAAATTCAAAAAATTGTAAAACCGGAGGACTAACAAAGTAAAAAATGGAACATGAATTTTGCATACAATCCGAAGTTAATGCTTAATAGAGAATTAAATGAGAAATTTGGTATTTTAATGTCCAATTATCTGGAAAATGGGTCGATGTATGTTAGAAGTTACAATGACAAAGTTATGTGGACCAAAGGTAACATAGATAAAATATTAGGTGATCGGACTTATCTATGTTCAGTTCCTTCTTTAAAAAATATAGTCTGGAAAAGACGTGTTCGTCAGATTGTTAAGGCATTAAAGTGTTTCTAAAGATAATTGGAAACAGAATTAAATACTTTTAATGCATCTCAGCTGGTTATAACTGTACTCGAGTACTTTTACAGGGAATAACCTCCATAGCAGGCAGTTGAAGGTTGACCAGGAACTAATGACACTCATAAGGTGATTAACTCTCTTTCCAAATATCTTTAGAAATACTTTACCTGGAGAATTTAATGGGGGGTGATATATTTAGTGTGAAACAATTGAATTTTCAAATTCATAGGCTATCATTTGCACATTTTACAACACAACAGTATTCTGACACAGAAAATCAAAAGAACTCTTCCGTGACGTCATAATTTGGTCCAGCAAGTTCAAAAAGTGCAAATTATATCTAAAAAAAATTCTTTTAATATTTTTTTCGATAAACAGTTTAGCCTTTTATTACGGCACTTATTTTTTAATACATATTTGGTGTCTGACCCTCCTCAATTTCGTCGCAGCGTGCCACGTTCCGGGAGCGCAACACAACTCGCCAAGTTCGTCCAACTCCGCGCAACTTCCCGCATAATTAAACGCATGATCTTTTTCGAGTTTTCGCGAGTTCACGGCGATAATGACGTTTTTCTCGGTTACAGAAGCGCATCGAGCCCTCGAACTCCTCGAAGACTACCACTCGAAACTTATCAAGCCGCAGGACAAGCAGCTGAGGTTGGCCATCGAACGCGTCATCCGGATCTTCAAGTCGCGGCTGTTCCAGGCACTTTTAGGTAAGAATATTAATCCTTTATTGTCTTCTCAGGGGAAATTATTACGAAATACCTGCGTAATAGAATTACAGTTTGATGCACATAATTCAGAGTAAACTAGGAAATTAATATGGTGCGCGGAGCCACCTTAATGAATTAGAGCCGTGATTGATTTATTACTTTTCGTACTAATTGAAAACAGGATGCTAACTTTAAATTTCTATCGCGTTCGAGGATTCGGTGAATTATCTAGAAACTTTAGCTCGGTGAATGGTCTTTACGGTTTCCGTGCTACGGAAGAACGAGAGAACAAGCTGATAAAACTTGGAACCATTCATTGTGCGCTTTCGAGTTTAATGTGTGTCGGCAGAATAGCTACATGAAGATTTAATTATGAAACATTGCTACATTTGTATGGACGGGATTTTACTTACTTTTTCGATCAACTTTGGAACTATGCTCTCTATTTTCTGTGAAAATATCGCAGGGTAATTCTAAACTAAACTTCGTGCTTCGATATAAGCTCCGGAAACAGTGCGAACGAGAAACTAAAAACACAAAGTCTGATGTTCTAATTTAATAATGATGATAAACAGGAGTCTCGGTAGCTCTTGACAACAAAGTAAAGCCCGGATTTATATAATATACTTTGTAAAAAGAGCGGATTTTTATGCACAAATATTTGTAAAAATGTGTTATATGTATATCATAACATTTTGTACGAAGAAAAATTTTGTTCTAAGGTATATCAACTGGTGTGTACTTTAATAGTCCTAATAATGTCGGGACGCAATTCTATGTCAATATCTAATGATTCGCAATTTAAAATTAAACTGATGTTTTCTAGGACCTTGCAATCAATATTTTTATTAATCACGTCTTCCACTTTTTTATTTACCTAGTTTTCCTGAACCATTCAAAGTATTGGTTTCAAAATTTTCAATTACCTGAACAGAAGTTTCGTCCTACAAAATATATAAATTGATTTTATACAATTTCATATAATATAACATACATATTTATGGATTGTTTACTTCTTAACTGTAAACATAAAAATGAAATTCAATGTACGAATGTAAAATAAGCGCAAATTTTAGCTCCAGATCCAGATGAGTTCTTTGGACGGTACAAAATTTCGGTAATCTTGGTCCGGGATCATAAACACGTTATATTTTTTAAAACAGGGTGTCGAGATCTGTATCCTAAAATTTTTTGTAGATTTTGAACACCTTTTCCAAAAGCGTAATATTTTAATACCTATGAAATTTTTCGACCATTTTCGAAAATTAATTCAAAGGTATTGTTACGAAATAAACCCATACGCCGCCCCCGGTGCGATGCCTATGGGTCTTCTAGTAGGTACGCATTTCTTCTAGTGTGTAGCATGACTCATCGATGACAGCGGCAGGCGCTCGGTAGGGAAAGGTCTGGGAACGGAAGTCGCGATGGATTCCAGAAAGACCTCGATGGGGAAATATCGAGAAGGGAATACGAATTTAAATAGAGACCACAGTCGGGAACGATTCATTCATTATTCAATCGAACTACGAGTCCAGCGAGCCAAATTGCAGTGGAAATAGTTTGTACATAATTGCTGTAATAGTTAGTCGTGTATATTCAAGTTAGTAAGGAATAAATTGTTGAGTTTTACTCACGCCAATTTTAATCACCCGTTCAACGTAACAGTATTTTCTTGTACATTTGAACGTCCACAAGCTATTTTCGGTATCATTTCGTCGAAAATTTCTAGTATTTTCCAAAATCGCCAATATAAAATTGGTAATTTTTTGCAGTTTAAAAAAAAATTTACTTTAAAACCGAATATATAGAATTTTTTCCGGGATCACGAACACGCTATAGTCGTAAATCAGCACGTCGAGATTTTTTTTTAAATCTTTGAGTAACTTTTCTAAAAACTTAGCTTTTCAATAAGTTCGAAAGTATGCAATTTTCAACCGATATCATTAATCCAAAAATCAAAAAACCAAATCGAAAGCACGAAAATCGAAAAATCTAAAACTCGAAAATCGAATAATCTAAGATCGAAAAAGTGAAAAATCGAAAATCTGAAAATTGAAACTTGAAAATTTTGAAAATCAGAAAATCGGAAAGTGAAAATTTGTAAAGCAACAAAATTGGAAAATTAAAAAACCGAAAATGGAAAAATCGAAAATCGAAAAATGGAAAAATTGAAAAATCAAAAAATCAAGAAATCGCAAATTTGAAAATCCGGAAAATTGGAAAATCGAAACAAAAATGGAAAATCGAAGAATCGAAAGTCGGAAATTTAAAAACCAAAAATCGAAATATCGAGAATCGATAAATTAAAAAAGCGAAAAATCGCAAAGTGGAATTTGAAAAATCGAAGACCCGAAAATAGAAAAATCGATAATCGAAAAATCAAAAAACTAAAAAATTGAAAAATCGAAAATCTAAAAATTTAAACTTGAAAATTTAAAAAATAAGAAACTCGAAAAGCTAAAAAATGGAAAAGTTGAAAAATTGAAAAACGGAAAAACGAAAAATCGAAAATCGGGTATCGAAAAATTAAAAAACCGAAAAATTGAAAAATCGAAAATCGACAAATGGAAAGACCGAAAAATCGAAAATTCCAAAAATCAAAATCGGAAAATAAAACAATCGAAAAATGGAGAAGCAAAAAAAATGCAATGTCTAAAAACTGACAAACAGAAAAATATAAAAATCTAAAAATCGCAATCTCGAAAAATCGGAAAATCGAAACATCTAAAAATGGAAAATCGAAAAATCGAAAATGGGAAATTGAAAAAACGGAATTTCAAATATCGAGAATGGAAACATTAAACAAGCGAAAAATCGGAAAACCGAAAAATCTAAAAACAAAAAATTGAAAATCAAAAAATCAAAAATTCGAAAATTCTTAATATTGGAAATTCTAAAAATCGAAAATTCAAAAATCGAAAGAAGAAAGAATCACGAAAGGAACGAAGGACGAAAAGGACGGAGGACGAAAATGACGAAAAGGACGAAATAGAAAAGGACGAAGGACGAAAAGGACGAAGTACAAAAAGGACGAAGCACGAAAAGGACGAAGGACGAAAAGAACGAGAGACGACGAGGACGAATTAGGAAAAGACGAAGGACGAAAAGAACGAGAGACGACGAGGACGAATTAGGAAAAGACGAAGGACGAAAAGAACGAGAGACGACGAGGACGAATTAGGAAAAGACGAAGGACGAAGGACGAAAAGGACGAAGGAGGAAAAGGACGAAGGACGAAAAGGACGAAAGACGAAATGGACGAAACACGAAATTGACGACGGAGGAAAAGGACGAAAGACGAAAACAACGAAGGACGAAAAGCACCGAGGACGAAAAGGACGAAGGACGAAAAGAATGAAAGAAGACGAAAAGGATGAAAAGGAGGAAGGACGAAAATGACGTAGGACGAAAAGGACGAAGGACGAAAAGGACGACAAGGACGAAGAGCGAAAAGGACGAAAATGACGAAATATGAAAAGAACGAAGGACGAAAAGGGCAAAGGACGAAATGGACGAAACACGAAAAGGACGAAGGACGAAAAGAGCGAAGGACGAAGGACAAAAAGAGCGAAGGACGAAGGACGAAAAGGACGAAGGACGAAAAGGACCAAAGACGAAGAGGACGATGGACGAAAAGGATGAAAGACGAAAATGACGAAAAGGACGAAGGACGAAAAGGACGACAGACGAAAAGGACGAAGGAAGAAAAGGACGAAAGACGAAAAGGACGAAAGACGAAAAAGACGAAGGACGAAAAGGGCGAAGGACGAAAAGGACGAAGGACGAAAAGGACGAAGGACGAAAAGGACGAAGGACGAAAAGGACGAAGGACGAAAAGGACGAAGGACGAAAAGAACGAGAGACGAAAAGGACGAATTAGGAAAAGGACGAAGGACGAAACGGACAAAGAACGAAAGGGACGAAATTGACGACGGAGGAAAGGGCGAAAAGGATGAAGGACGAAAAGAATGAAAGAAGACGAAAAGAATGAAAAGGAGGAAGGACAAAAAGGACGTAGGACGAAAAGGACGAAGGACGAAAACGTCGACAAGGACGAAAGGCGAAAAGGACGAAAATGACGAAAGACGAAGAGAACGATGGACGAAATGGACGAAACACGAAATTGACGACGGAGGAAAAGGACGAAAGACGAAAAGAACGAAGGACGAAAAGGACCAAGGACGAAAAGGACGAAGGACGAAAAGAATGAAAGAAGACGAAAAGGATGAAAAGGAGGAAGGACGAAAATGACGTAGGACGAAAAGGACGAAGGACAAAAAGGACGACAAGGACGAAGAGCGAAAAGGACGAAAATGACGAAATATGAAAAGAACGAAGGACGAAAAGGGCAAAGGACGAAATGGACGAAACACGAAAAGGACGAAGGACGAAAAGAGCGAAGGACGAAGGACGAAAAGAGCGAAGGACGAAGGACGAAAAGGACCAAGGACGAAGAGGACGATGGACGAAAAGGATGAAAGACGAAAATGACGAAAAGGACGAAATAGAAAAGGACGAAGGACGAAAGACGAAAAGGACGAAGGACGAAAAGAACGAGAGACGAAAAGGACGAATTAGGAAAAGGACGAAGGATGAAACGGACGAAGAACGAAAGGGACGAAATTGACGACGGAGGAAAGGACGAAAAGGATGAAGGACGAAAAGAATGAAAGACGAAAAGAACGAAACTGACGACGCAGGAAAAGGACGAAGGACGAAAAAGGCGAAGGACGAAAAGGACGAAGGACCAAAAGGAGTGAAAAAACTGACGATTAGAAAAATAAAAAAATCGGGAAAGCAAAAATCTAAAATCGGAAAATCAAAAATCAAAAAAACGAAGATCGCAAAAACTTGAAAACCTAGAAATCAAAAATCGAAAAACTGAAATATCGAAAATCTGAAAACTGAAACTTGAAAATTTTTAAAATCAGAAAATCGAAAAGTGGAAAATCGAAAAGTAAATAAATTGAAGCCTAAAACCTGAAGAATGGAAAAATTTT